AGGTGTGAAAAGCAATGAGAGCTATGGGTACCTAGTAATAAATCAGTTTCTTTGCTTTTGTGTGTAAATACAGGCCCTCAATGGTGCGGAGCTCAGTTGCTTATTTTCTCTTTGTAGTCTGTGATGCCACTGCCAGGGCAGCAACATTCATGGTGGAAAATTCAGTTGTGTCCCCAAGGAGCTACAGGGTTGAGTGAAGACACAGCGAAAACACTGACTTACGTTGAAAGGTGTTTAATATACTCGTGTATTTACAACGCAGTGAAGATGCATCTTTGGAAAGATTTCTGGTGCTTTCTACATGGATAGCTTAGCAGTTTTCTTGGGGACTCTGTGCCCCACATACCTTTGTTATGTGAGCTGCTTCAAAGTGGCATGTGGCCTCAGCAGAGCACCTGGGTGATGTTCCCCTCACCCAGCGATTGCAGCTTTTCCTGCTGCTGCACTTCAGCAACTGATGGTGATGTACCAGGTCTGGAGCACCGGTACAGACCCTGTTATCTGGGTTGTATGGCTTGTGCCTTGGCTGGCAGGGAGTGAACAGCTGAGGAGGGTAATGCAAATTCCCCTTCAAAACTAGCTTCAGTGTTTTTTACATATAAGAGAGGAACACTGAAACATTTTACCGTATCAACTGACAAGAAGCATACAGCAGAGATAAAAATGTGTCTGTCTGTGCAGTTAGGAGAATAAGAGAGAGAATATCAAAAAGGATGCGGGAATTTAGAGAAGCCTGAAATCCTTTAAGACACTGGAAGAAGTCCCTCACTGTTATCTTCTGTGTAAGAGCTAGATCAAGCCACTCAATTTAAACTAGCTTAGGCAAACCTAACTTGGTGAGGGATCATACCAAGGAGTAGACCTGCTAGCTTGAACTTAAAGAAAGCCTCACTGGTTTGTTGTTTGGGTGGGGTTTTTTTTAATGAATAGGAGGTGGGTTAGAAGAAATACATAAATTACCCCTTGAGCCAACAGTGTCGTTTTTACACATTTAGAGGTGAGTGAATAGACAAAACCAGCAACATTTTACAGAATTTTCCAAAAAAGAGAAGAGCATTTGTTTTTCTAAGTCATTCCGTGTATTATGAAGACAGTGCACGTGCCTCCCTCTCTGAAAGCAGCAAGAGTCAAAGAAGCAGCCATTTTCTCTAGTTCCTGAAGTTGTTCATCCCCTGCATGGATGACAATCTGATTCATTCAGCTTCTTCCTGGCTGTTATCCCAGCATTTGTTCAGGTGCTTCTTTAGTCCATTTCCCAGACCCGTTCCTACCGATTATTTTCTGCTTCACTCTCTTTCTTTTCCAGCACAACCCTCCCCAAGAACCACACTGGCTAAGCCCTCCTGCCCACACAGGGAGGTGATGCTGCGCTGATGGGGGCCTGCGCTTCAGGTGAGAGCTCCATCAAAGATTTCAAAGACAGAGGAAGGAGTTAATGAGCGGCCAACAGTAACAAGTGAAGTAATTTGCTCTATTAAAGAAAGAGAGGATTTTATGCTGTACGTGCCAGTTATACAGAGAGAGACAGACACCATGGCAACAAGCTTGTCAGGCAGTAGCAGGGCACTACTTTAAGATTAACTATCGCTGGGGACATCATTAGTGGTGGAGAAACTTCAAAAGCTTTGGAACTTGGGTTCCTTTTGCACCCAGAATCTTGCTTGCTTTTATGGACTTTATTTGAATCTCCAGTCTGTAAGCTTATGCTGGGATAACAACAACAGCAGGCTGGGATTTTGGATGCATCCTGAATAAGATGGAAAGGAAAAACGTGCTCACAGTATCTCAGCGCTTCCAGGCCTGCCAGGTTGTCTGAACTGTATGGAAATGAAGAACTAAAACATACCGTTGAGTCAGGTTCAGTGGGATTGTCTGAAGTAAAGAACGAAAAGGAGTTTGAAAAGGACTGCTCCTTCTGTGCTTACTCGTAAGCCATAGATCTGATCATTAGCCTGCAGTGATGAAAAGGAGAGATCCCTCTGTAAATCTCCTATTCTGGGAGGATGAGCAGGTGACAGATAATTGCATGTACGAGGTTGATTCTTTTTATCCTCCTAGCTCATAGGCAGAATCCCAAATCCCTGTGATTGTCTTGCACCTCATGCAGACATTTACTCTGGTGCAAGGCTGGTGTCAGGTGCTGGTGTGGTAGGATTTATACCCATGGGAAGTTCCTCTATAGGCAACCACAAGACAATTAGTGCACAAGGAGTTCTGAACTCTGAACATGGCCTAATGTGAATCGCATTTTACAGAAGCAATGTACAGAGTTGAAGTTTTCAGTTCACGAGGCTGCAATGCAAACGAAAACATTTCTATGGTAAAGTGAAGAGAAAAAGGAAAGGTCTGAAGAGCCATTCCAGGGTTTCTGTGGGGGTCTCTTTTGCCCCACCTTATTTATAAAGTGCTGAGAATGCCATGTAGTGGGGTTTTCATAGTGACAGGGAATGTACCACAAATGCATGAAGCTTTGTGACTTGCCTGCATAATTCCCCGTGACTGAGCTACCCAAATCTAATGGGAGCTGCAGCGCTTCACAGTTCCGAAACTGAAGCATGGCCAACATGCAGGGTATGAGTGCAGACAGTCCAGATGTCCAAGCCCTGGCTCAGCCCACCATGCCCCACTGCTTCCACAGGAGCTGCTGCAGGCATTTCAGTCAAGAGGCATTTTAGCCCCATCAGGACTAACTGGGAGAACTGATGAGTGCAGACATTTGTTCAGCTTGCGGCACAAGGAAGGAAAATAAGGTGGACATTAATCATCTTTTTGCAGATGCGTCAAGTGAAAATCCCATTCAATCCCATGAAAAAGCTTATTTTTGAGCAGTTGTTCTCTGAGACCTGATAGCCAAGTACTGTGCTCAAAGAACCAATGAAAGAGGAGGTGGCTCATCTGGAGCTGCCTGCTTCCCAAAGATAAAGGAAGATGGAGTGCAGCACTCTGCCCATCCTATACAGGAGAGTGAGAGTCATCGAGATAACTATGAGAATTATTGTGGTTGGGGGCATCTTGCATGGTGTAAAGGGAGAATAACAGGGAGCATGCAATGGATTTCTGCATACAGTTGAGTTTTCGCAGCCCTGTGGAGAGAGGCCTCTCTGTGATCATAATTGGAATGAACTCATGAATAGCGCATGTGAGCAGAAAGCAAATCTGAAGCTGCAAGCAGTTAGCTCACCCTGCTGCATGGTTAGTAAGGAGACGTGTTGCATACTCAAGATATAGGGCAGGGAAGGACACATTCATCTTACTGAACAGGCAGTTCAGTAAGAAAATTCTCAAGGTTTTGGAAACCTCAGCTTGCCCCAGGTAGCTCTGTCTTCCGTGCAGGTGGAGGAACATAGATGTCTATTGTTAGTCAGCAGGCAAATATCTACTATGAGAAACTGGTGGCAACCTAAGACAGCTGTGTGCACGTCATGACCAGCGATAGGTGTACAGGGACAGCAAGGGAGAGCTTACGGTTCCCCCACTGGCTGTTTTCACCCTGCAACCTGAACTAAAAAGTATTTATTTCTCTTTTACTGGGACAGGACCTCTAAATGAAGCAGCGAATACCGCTTATTAGAAAGGCAGAGCCATGCACTGAAACAGGTCATACTTCCCTTTTAGTCAGACAGCTGTAACCAGGACCAAGAAGAAACGCTGGAATATGTCAAGCGGAGGCTTGGGGCTTGTCATGAGGCATTCTGTGTTTGGAGATGGGAACCAAACAACAGCTTTCTTCCTGCTTAAAGAAAGAGCTTAGGAACAAGCGCAGGTGGAGAAAGGCTGCCCCTCAAACACAGCACTGAAGAGAGAGGGGGATGGAACCTTGGCCCCACATCTGCCCTGGGGACACAGGTCTCTGCCCGTACTCCTCCACCTACCAGGGAGAAGCATTAAAGACATGTCATCTCATCAGATCATTACTGGGAGTTTCAGAAATATTTTCTGATTGCTAAAAAAGACTGCTAGATAATCTTGCCTGCATTGCTGTGCTATTACTCTTTATAATACTGTGAAATTAAATGCAGAGAGATATTTTTTAAAGGACAAAGGTTTTACAAGACCTTCGGAAAGCATAGCACTGTTAGCTAGTGACTATTAACTTCAGTTTCATCTTTAAATTGATATCCACATCAGCACATCCCTCTCAGACTCAAGCTCCTGGACCCCCTACACGTGCATTTTATTTTCCTACCCTCACACTTGCCTTTATGATCTTCTGCGCTCCAATCAGTCACCTCCTGAAACTTCAAACCACACCTTTGGCCACTGGAGTCCACATATGGACAAGCATTCACAGGAGAAGAACTCAGCTGAAATAACTGCAGCAACTTGCCTACGGCCTTCCATCCTTGCCCCTCTTCCTGGAAGACTGAGCCAAGACCTGTGGAGGAGTGCCATTGTATTTGCCTAATTCCCTGTTCATCCTTGGGGCTGTGTCCATGCCCGACTCCCCTGTGCTCTCAGTAGCTCATCTTCTGCCTCTGAGCTTCTCATCCCCAGCTTCTGTGGGCACTTGTCACAGCCAAAGTGGACAATTGGCTGGGAATGGAGGTAGCCAGAGCAGCAAAACAAATTTTTCCCGTGCTCTGAGCGTGGGTTTCTCTCTGTGAAATGTATGCTGGACGTTGCAGGCAGTGGAGATCCCTTCCAAGATTTTGAACACTGCTGAACTCTGATGCACAGTCAGAAGTGAAACCAAAGCCACCTCGTCCCATCTGTAGCAAGTCAAAATTTGTGATATTTCAGCGTGACACACAGAAATACTCCAGGTAGGAAAAGTTGGATTTGTGTTTGTTTTATTTGTTTGCTTATCTTTTCCTTTTTGTCCAAGAGTGCATTTATTTTGTAACTGACAGGAGATCACTTCATTTTTAGTGAGTCTAAAATAACTTGGCAGTAATAAGAACAAGTTTGTCTCTCTGCTTTCCTTAACATGGAGAAACTGAATGGGTAGTTCCGTGTTCAGAAGAGCCTCAGAGGTCTCTGTTGAATTCACTGACCGTGGTTCAAACCAGTGTGCAGCACGGCCACTGAGGGAGAAACAGAACAAAAAGTCAGACCATCTGGAAGGTCCACAGGATGCCACCAGGGCACTCTACCACAGCTCTGGGAGAACAAGCTGGGAAAGGCTGGAGCTGTGCTTTAATCTGTTGTACGTGTAGGATCCATCTGCTCTGGAACTTCGGGGAAATATATTGCCAGAATCAGCCTCAGACATTGCAAGTCAGGTCTCTTCCAGGGGAAGACCAGTTCTCCAGGGCAAGCTGTGTCACCTTTGAAAAATTCTAGGGTCGGAGCATGCAATGTACAATTTCAGCTAGATTTAACTAACTGTGACTGAGGGTCACAGGGCTTCCTGGCCATCCTCCTCCCTTCGAGCCAGCCTTCAGCTGAGAGGACTAATTGGATGGACCTCTTGGGGCCCCTTCCAGCTGTTTCCTGAGATATATTTGTATTCTGCAAAGGGAAGACTCAAGCTGATTGCTTTTATTACAGCTTCAAGAGGGGAAATTTGCATTAAAAACAATGTGGGGAAAAAAAAAAACTGGCATCTTAAAAGGTCTCTTCTAATTCTGGCAAGTTGATCAGTACATTCTCTGCCAGACAAGAACAGTTCCCTGCTGTGTGTTTTCTAATGAATTGACCACTGCCCTGTAAAAGCAGACAGTGAAGCACACTGTGTAAGCACCTTCTCAAGCAACCTTAGGGGTTTTGAATGTATCTTTACTTTTTTGCTCATATAAGGTAAATTTTCGTTCCACTGATTCAGACAGGCCTTCTGGGCTGAAAAACCTTTTCACACAAACAAACTTTCCCTTTGAATCACTATTGAGTTTACCACTTATAACAGTGATTTTAAATAAATGTATTTTAGTGTGGTCCATTGCTGTAGCTTAACTAGACAGTGTTTCAATCTGATCAGCCTCACCTCAGCCAGTGAGAGCTGGATGACTCCACTCTTGTCTTTGTCCAGGAGATGGAACACTTCTGAAAAGTAGAAGAGAGGGGAAAAAAATGGATATAAACCACAGAGTTTGGCATGTAGAGAGTCACTGTCTGACAAAATGTAGAGGACTGGCTTTTTGCCATGATCTACTGGAAATCTAGACTGGTTCTGTAACAGAATATTACAGATGTTCTTCTTTCCTCTTACAAGCCATTTCTAAGCCGCTTCATGGGGTGGAATAGTCAGATCTACAGCAGCAAACTGAGAGTTGGCAGCAGGACAACTATAAAATCTGATGCAGTAGCAGCTGGTATGATCCATGGGCAAACCTGTAAATCAGGTCTAAGTAAGAACTGTAAATGATAAATGGTACCATTTATAGGAACTGGGACAACTTGGGGGCCGGAGCACCGACCATAAAGTGCAGATGAGTGTAAAGCAGAAGAACATGGTAGGTTATGAAAACATGACCCCCTCACTCCGCAGTCATTTGGACAGATACGCTTTTGCTATTTCTCTGGTGGTTTCTCGAACAGACACAATTTTGCTGGCACCCTCACATTTCCATACAATTTGCTACATTCACAGTGAAAAGACACCAAATGCTTAGTGAAACCCCAAAGTTTTCAGGAATTCCCCTTGGCTGATGAACGGAGGCACTTACTGAACAGGGTCTCCAAGCGGATCATACAGGCCACAAAGCCATCAAAATCAATGGTCAGCTTGCTGCAGGCGTAGCGGATGACAATGCTGTGCTGCACCTGATCATTGAGCGTGAAACCTGAGGGCATGAGAAGCACATGAATCACTGACGCAGCAGGTTAATATGCTGTCTTTGATGTGACTTATCCATGGACTGTTGCAGCTGCAGGCAGACCTGGGTGAAGGACTGAGGACTATTCCTCCAAGAAGGTCTGTTGGACTCCGTCACCCACCTCTGCTGTGAGTCCTTTCCAAAGCCCATTGTGCTGGGTGAAGAGAGGCATAAAGTTCTCCCACAGCATTTTGTCAAACCGCATATTTCACATTGTTTCACAGCATAACCAGTCCTATGTTCCCCAGATAAACCCCTAATTAGCGAGTCTTGGTGCTGCAGCTGAATAGCAGTGATTGCAGTAGAGCCAATTGCTCACATAACACATTGGGCTCTATTCAGGCCCATATTAGTGTTATTTCTGTCTCTGGATCATTCACATAAACTCCACCGAGCACAAGACAGATCAAAAAAACAGTGCTCCCCTAGATGCCCCTGAGCTCACAAGAACTCCTCCAAAAGTGAATAGCACACATCAGAGAGGATATCGTTGGGGCATGCCTTGATCAGGCTTGCACCTTCTCTAGCGCAGAGAAAGGTGGTGGGAGGAAATGAAGGAAAAAGAGGATTTAGACATAGCTCTGAAAAAGGGAAATTAGATTAGGAAATAATGAGGCCAAAAATAGAGCAAGTAATAATCAGATGGATAAGCAATGGTCACAGCATGGACAAAAATATCAGTGGTTCATAATGCAGAACAGAGGATGGGGTTTGATGTATATAACAGCAAAAGGATGTAGCAGTACGTGGCTGTCAGGAAGGGAGAATGGCACTGGCAATGCTGTGATCTAGGAGGTGGGAGGGAAGCAAAGCCAAAGCAAAGCCAAAGGCTCCACTGTTCTTTCAATGTCGGGGGGGGGGCAACCACAGTGACCCGACGGGGTCCCCGAGCTACCTACTCACCCTGCCTCTCTGAGGGCATTTCGCATCTCGTGGGAGTCGATGGTACCAGAGTAGTCACTGTCCACTTTCTTATAGATTGATATCAGTGGTTCATAATGCAGAACAGAGGATGGGGTTTGATGTATATAACAGCAAAAGGATGTAGCAGTACGTGGCTGTCAGGAAGGGAGAATGGCACTGGCAATGCTGTGATCTAGGAGGTGGGAGGGAAGCAAAGCCAAAGCAAAGCCAAAGGCTCCACTGTTCTTTCAATGTCGGGGGGGGGGCAACCACAGTGACCCGACGGTGTCCCCGAGCTACATACTCACCTGCCTCTCTGAGGGCATTTCGCATCTCGTGGGAGTCGATGGTACCAGAGTAGTCACTGTCCACTTTCTTATAGATTGCCTGCAGCAGAGGAATGAGGGAATACAGAAATGGCTTTTCAACGTGTACCTGCCCAGCAATGTGATGGTGCAAGCACAGGCAGTCTTTTGCTTTCATGGCTGGATAACAACAGTAGTGAAGACATGGTAACACAAGGGCTCACCAGAAGGTAGCAGCCAGAATGAAATAACCAGGGATCCTCTAGGGTTTCACCTTGGTTTTCTAGTCCACTCTACAGCCTGTGCCCTGCCATTCCCCCCTCCCCCCCGCTCCTGTAGCTAGATTAAAGCCAGGACATTCATGCCTGCTTCTGCTGCATCCACACCATCGCTCTGCTCTGCAGACACAGCCTCAGGTCTCTGATGGCTGGGACAGGGGCTGCCCTCACCAGCCCAAGCTCCTACTCTTTGAAATATTAATGAGCAAGGGAAATGTTTCGAGTAACCACTGGCATGCAAGGCAGACAGGGAAACTCGTTCCCATGGGCTGGCAGCCTGCCTGCCTGCCTTCATGTTACGTGGTGGCAGACAGGCCACTGAGGAAAATATCCTTTCATTTGGCAAACACTGCAACAGACAAAGTCCATTTGGCTTAATATTGCAGACAAGATGACAGATGCTTCCTACTGCCAGCAGGTTCATTATCCAGAATTAGAAGTCACCCAGACCTACAGCTCAGACTGGAATTGGCTCTCAGGGCTTGTTCTGCCAACGCCAGTCTCGGGACAGAGCTGGTGCGCCCCACTGAAGCTGAGCTGAGCATCTCCTCATGCACCTCCAGGACAGGTGCTCTGTGCTGACCAGCTTCAAGCATGGTAGCAGCAGGCTTGCCCGAAAGGGATGTCTAAAGGGAGGTCCAGATTTGACCTCCCTTTAGACTGCTTGATTCTGGGCGCACTTCTAGGGATATTAAATCCTCTGTCAGAAAAACAACTCAGCACTTCTACCAGATTTAAAAAATACAAAGCCAGGTTGTTGTAGGTCCTAAAAATATGTGTTGCTTGTGTTTGCTGGTGCTCAGCTGGCAATGTAACGTATCGCAACAGCAGAGGCACGTTCATAGGAGCCTTAATACAGCAGGCAGCAGAGAGCTGTCTTTGCCAGCAATGAAAGAGGGTTAATCTGGCTTTCCATAAGGTATTACAAATTATGGAGAGTGGTGGGGCCAAGGTGAAAGAGGATCTGCTTGTGTCCTTTAAAATCAGAGGTGTTTTTGAGCCCTGGAACAAATGCCAGCCATGAGAAGGAAGGCTTCCAAGTATATCTGCCTGTGGTGGCTTAACCCTGTCTCAGTTCTGTATCTGTACTTCAGAGCTGAGAGGGAAGAGGAGACAGTCAGAAATATTATGTTACCAAATACTTTTGAATCTTCATCCAAAGTGTCTTGAATTCTACAAGTCCCAAGGTGCCGGTCCCATTGGTCTGGGGATGTTAAGGCATGGTTCAAAAATCAGGATTCCCCTATCCTTAGCAAAACTGGAGAGCAACCAGTTCTGATAAAAAAAAAATCACCCCTCACAGTGTCATCTTAATGTCATATTCATTCTCATTTGTAATACATCTCCACCTCACACAGACATGCCCACAGCTTTACATTTGCTTAGCTAAAGGCATGCCAAGAATTTCTAGGCTATCTGCACTCTCAAGGAATGATATATGGGATTGCTAAATATATAAGCATGATCAGATCCACTCACATTTTGTACAGTTACCAGTAGATTAAAGCCCTTAGGGAAACAAAGGTCTGGCCTCACAGTAGACAAGTGTTAGAAAGCAGAGGCAGGAACTGTGAGTGAACATAGAGAGTGAGTGGTAGGCTACACAAGCTTCCCCCATGTCCTTCAGGGCCTTGAACATCCCCTCCTCTGGAAAAATCATAAAGAGCAAGGAGTTGGCCCCCATGATGCTGTATTTATTGAGCTGCCCTGTTGGGTTTGGGAGGCTGCGGAGCATAAGGCAAAGACATCATTTCTCCCAACAGCCACAGATCCACAAGATCCACAGGTAATCCCTGCTGACCTCAACGCGAATACGTTATGAGACCAACATTAGCGTAATCCTGGCAGCACGGCTCTTGACCGTCCCAGTGCATTGGCTGCCTCCCCAGCATGTCAAAGGACTACTGGACAGATGTGCTGACCTCTCCTTTTCCCTTGGTTACACAAAGCTTATTAGCACCCATGTGTCCTACAAGGTATGCAGAAGGGAGAGAGGCAGGGCATGTGCTCACAGCCTTCCTCCTCGGAACAGGCTCTCCAGCCTCTCTCTGCTGCTTTGAGCTCTGTGCTCTCCAAACAGTTCCTGACTTAGAGATGGAAGTTGAGGTTGTGCTTAAAACCGGCCTCCTGCCAAGCATGCTGCATATGCATTGAAACAGCACAGGTGCATCCAGGCAGAAAGTCCCTGCTTCTCCTCCTTGCCCTTTTTAGGGAAAAGTTTCAGCAATGAGAGATGCAGAGCAGGTGAGAGAAGCGGCCAATGATTAAATGGTTCAGGTTTCTGCCACCCTGAGATGATAGAGCTGCTTGACTGAATTTTATGCCTTCAGCCATGCTCACGGACAATGGAAGTGTAAACTTAGCCTTGTCAGGAAGTTTTGCAAAAGAGATCCAGAAACTTTAAAGGTGATGAAATGACGTTCAAAGGATACATCTAAAAGGCTGATCATCTCCCTGCAAGTGTTAATGTTGAATCCATCACTTTTAATATCCCTTCCTGTGCAAAAAGGAAGTAAACATCTAAGTTAGAAATAGTTTTAGACAAATACTTTTCTGCAGACAACCTTGGAGATGTCGGCCACCTTAAAATCTTGTTAGCAAAGCAAATGTCATGCCATTTCTTCCACTGTTTCCCTTCAGCTGATTAATATGGCTTTCTGGCACAGGGGCAGGGGATGCTGTCGGTTTTGGGGGTGGTAAGCCTCCATCTGCCCACAGAAGTTATGCAGCAGCATAATAATATCTTCCCATGGTGGTCCTCCTGAGAAGGTACAGGGAAAACAGTGCCTCTGGGGGACGTCGGCTGGCAGTGCTTGGAAGGGGAGCACCAGGTGGTATTTTGACCCCTCATATTAGAGGTTCAACAAACCAGGAGAAACTCAGCTGGGGGTGGTTTTTGGTCACCCTTAGCTGATACAGCTGGGTTTTGCTAGCACAGAACCCTCCTGTGTGCTAATGGCAAAATGCTCACTCTGACCAAAGACCAACTTGATGTCTCACCATTTCAGTAGGTGCCTTTCAGCTCCATTCAATGGGAACTACATAACATTACTTACTCTTCACCAAAACCCGGTTTAGGATAGTTTGAAGTTCAGTTGCAGTCACTTCGCAGTCCTGGACAGAAAACTTACTTTAGATGTTAACACAAAAATTGTTTGAAGCAAACTATATTCATTTTCTGTCAGACATCCAGAGACTATTTTCCTCCCATATCTAAGGCATGGAAACCTTTGATTTTTTTCCAACACTTTATATTTACCACCAGATATCATGTGGAGGAGATCCTCAGAAACCATGAATATTTCCTAGCCTTATGGGAAATAAGTGGTTTGTTAGGGGTGATGACCCAGTAAACATTAACTTTTTAACAGGTTTGACTGAATTGGGTGACTGCCTTCTTTCTCAGCTAAAGAGGTTCAGGACAGCATTTGAGATTTTCCGGGCTTATGGAAACTACAGCCAAACAATACTAAAATTGTCCTCTCAAAATGGTCTTTCTGACTAACAAGATGTTTTCCCTCTTTGGTGCCAGTGGCCACCTGTTCACTAGGAGTAAATCTGACTTGACAGCCACAGGCTAGCGCAGCAGGGTTTTCTAGATACTGAGGTTTGTCAAATACAATAAATAGAGAGAAAGTTCAGCCAACAGTTTTTCCAATTCCCGGGGCTTCTAAACAAAGAGGAAGGAATTGGCCAACTAGGCAATTGTCAGAATTATACGCTAACTCCACAGGTAATTTATTTCACCATGGGATAATATTTTCACAGTCCTCACTCCCGTCACCCCTATTTTCAAAGTTCTTCCATGCCCTGCATTACCGAGGGAACAAATCACATTTTGCACCAATAAGAAGAACAACGTAGTGAAACCGTTCTATTGTAAAATAAATTGAACTGAAACTAAAAGTTAATAAAAGGGGAGAAATGCTTGGTTTTTTGAAGACCAGACAGTAAAAGGAACTGGCAAGTCAAATATTTGCATAATCATAGCAGAGAGGTCTGAGTCTTTTTCTTTCACTTTAACCCACTTACCTCTCCAGAGAGCTTTTGAAACAGAGTCTTGAACTCATCATCTATATCTTTGTTATCGACATGAGGCTAGAGGAAAGAGATGACCGAGAGTGTGGTTTACAAGGTGGTTCTAGAACGCGAGAAAGCAGCTTTACAGGGGACTATGTACAGCAATGGAAAATGAGCACTTGCTCTGCAGCAAAGGCAAAACAGAGGCACTACTTAAATCACGACCATCCAGGCCCTGGCTTCATTTAGGAGTAAATACTTTCTAAGACTGATGAAAAAGTTTTCTTCTACTGCCAAAATAGTTTTATAAAATAGCTGCAGTGAAAATGTTGCTGCACCTGGCCATAGCAACTCAGCAGTTCCTTGGAAGTCTGCTTTTGCAATTTCTCTTGGGCTTCAGGAAGACTATTTGTTTCTATGAAGAGGATTATTCAGCACCCTCCCCACGTCCTCCTACCTCTACTACATGGAAGGACAATTTCATGTGTTCCAGCCCAGCCTACAAGGGTGCAGTTCCTGTTCCACATGGGCCCAGGTACATGAAAATGCACATGAAGCTAAGCCATGGAGATATGTAAAGAATCTCCATAACTAAAAAATATTTATCTTGAGCACAAACACATACTGTGATTCCAGCTCAGGAGAAAAATAAAAATCTCACCGCCGTTTTGGCCTGACATTATGAAAGAAAAGTCTGCTAAAAAAAAAATCCAACAATCTGCCCAGTTAAGACATTTACCTCATACGGTCTCGCAGCCACCACATCACCAATCATCCTAAGGAAAAACAGAAAAAAAACCCCAAAACCCAACAACGAGAAATTATGAGTCTACCATTTGCCCTTAAAATTATAAGCCCTTAGCTAAAACAAGCTGTTTTAATATAAAGTGCTACCAAATGCATAGAACAAGCCCCCAGGTTTCCTACTTCCTACACCTCTGTCTATCCTACCTCTTTGAAGATTTCCTTGGGAAATCCAGCCTTGTTGTTCCTGTCTTGTATCCAGACTCCTGTGTTTTCATTCAATGGCTGCTATTGATACAACCCTTTTTAAAACCATCTCCTCATGGTCGTACTCCCAAATCCTCCACCCTTTAATTGGGGGAACTTCTACTTCATGGACCTGAGGGAGCTAGTTACCACCTGAGTGCTTGCTGGTGGCCATCTGAAGAGCCGTGACTCTCTACCATGGATGTGCGCGTTGCATATAGTAGACTACATAAGAAAATAGGTCCTAGAAATGGGCCTACTTTACTGGTTAAAGGAAAAGATAGAGCAAGGGATGTGGGTGAAATACCTGATCTTTTCCTTTATGTGCCTCACCAGCAGAAGAGAAGGCTTTACAGAGAAGATACGTACTGAGGTTTAGCCTGTTTCTCAGAAAAAACTCGCAGGCAGAACTCTCCGTTTTTGTAAGGCTCAAAAGTGGATGGCACAATGAGGTACTCTCCCAGGGGCAACTTTATGCGGCTGGAGACTTCACGCAGGTTGACGTAAGGATCAGACCGGGCTGCCGGTTGGTTCCTTGCGAAGAAAGCATGGTTCACATGAGTATCTGTGTTATTTTCCAGCTGTGGGAAATGTGTTTTTGTTAGAAACCATTTGACAATTCACTGGTAAGCCAGCCACCCTATTTCAAATTCAGTGCCTTAAAGCCATCTCAAGTTTTTTCTTAGCATAAAATAATAAATCCACAAGTGATGGTGTGAAAGATAACCACCAGGGTTCTGTCACGGGAAACAGCCAGGCAGATAATTAGAAGGGGGAAGTATCTTCCTTTAGAAAGATTATCTTTTCATATGCGTCTTCACAGTCTGTGATATAAAATAAATAAATAGATCATAATGTGTACTCATAGCTGGTCAAACTAGTATCTGCTGTACTTAAGTCATCCAAGTAGTGAGCATTTTTTGCTTTTACAGGCTGCTCATGAACAAACTTAAATTTCAGAATGTTTTTGAGCAATTTATGCTATGGGATGGATCACCTAATTGCATAGGACATGTCTCTGATTTATTTAAACAGACAGAAAATAATAGTAAAGAGAACACAGTAGTAGTCACAAGGGTGAGACTTTTGGGGCCACTTTAGATGATTTACTCAACTTCTATTAGTAATACTAAGGGTATTCCTTTGGATTATGTGGAAAATAGTATGTAACTTTTCGTTAATACAAATACACTATTAAGCAAGTGAAACATTGCACAGCTTACAAAACAAAACACCAATGTAACAAGAAACAATACCATAATAATAACAACAACATATCTGTTTAAACCTGCTATTCTTAATGTTTGCTCCACAGGGATGTCTTTCAAAAAGTGTGATTCAGTGATCCACAAAAAGTGCTGTGTGGTTGACATGGGATGGGGAACATTGCATACGGATAAGATTTCGAGCTGTCTAAGATCTGAGCATACAAAGATGTTATCAAACATTTTATAACCATTCTGGTTTTATGTTGTAAACTGTAGAAAAATATGGGGTTCTTTCCTCCTTTGTTCTGAAGATAAGATTGGATTTGGTATTTATTCAACAACCCCATCCTTTCTCCCCACTCAATCTTAACCTAAGCGGAACTGCAAAGATTAAAAACCCAGATCCATATCTTTTTCAATACATAAAGCTCATTTTCCCTTTGCATCTACAAGGCTGTTAAAAGAACACAGTTAATTGCTACATGACCGCACATTCATTTACTGAGAATGAAGAAAAGGACTGAAAAGCCGAGGAAAAATTGGCAGCGCAGGCTGCTGGACCTCAGTAATGAGTGTAGGCTATTCCTACTGCCAGACACCCCTGGGGTCTCTTTCTTCAGGAATGAAAAGTCTCTTTACCTCAGTATTGACATCTGGGAGGATTAGGGAAGGTTGAGCAGGGTTTGTTCATTACCAGGAGCCCCAGCTCAGAACTATAAAAGGAATGATCCACAGAGTTTGGCATTTCTTTGGAACAACATTAACTACATTTTCTCGATTTTAGAGTGCAGAGACCCTGTTTTGCCTTCAACTGTACTAAATAGACAAATTCTGACCTATGTTATACAACTTTGGTGGAAACTAAATTTCAACAAGTATAAATGAAGTCAAGATTGGGACTCTGATGACAGTAATAAAGCCTTGTGCCCCAGTCCCTTGGAAACTGTTATTCAGAACTTGAGAACTTGGTCCAGTGATCCAAGAACAAAGCTCTCCAGAAGAGCTGTTATTAGTAAGGAAGAGGTCTTCCTGGTAACTAAATTCTCCAGTGCAACAAGAGGTGCCCATTTGGAGGCTAGAAGTCTTCAGCAGAGACTACATACCTCCTGAGGAATCTGAAAGGAAGAGAAAAAGCCGATGTTAAAGGGCTGCTACACACCCACTTCTATAATTAGGAAAAAAAATCAGATAAAACCTGCTTCAGACACATTTTTTCGAGTTCTATTTACAACCACATATTGTAGTAGCAGTTATGTATAACGTTATGCAGGAAGTTCTCAGCTTGTGCTAGAGCTGTTCCAAAGGAGAAACAGGCTCTTCATCCAGAGGAATCTATACAACGTTTAACTGCTTTTCTCCTCATAATGGTGTTGTGAATGATACTACTGCTTGGAAATATTTGGGTAAGCCTCAAAATGTTCAGTGATGAAAGTCAACAGGTCAAGCCCACTTTACTAACCAAAAATGAACTGAAAATTTATTACAGCAGACCTAAAATCCACTAGTCTACTGTTACTGGAATATGATGAAAATACAAGGCTACCATCACCAGCAACCAGCATGACGATGATGTGGTTGTAAGATAATTTCAAGATTCGAACAAATTTTGAGATTTAGCCCTTCCTAAATTAACTCAATTGCTATGTTAATTTGTGCTTCCAAATATAAGGTAGCTTTTCCAAAAGCAATTAGTTGTCTTGAGAGCACAGATTCCACTGAGAGCCAAAGAGAGTGTCCTCCCAAGTTCCAAAGGAGCTTTTGAAAATATCACCCATACAATGATTCTGGGGCCTGAGATGGTCCCTTGAGACCTCAGGTCTTGTTCCTTACAACCAGCATACTAAAAGGCCAGGAGCTCCATGATGGGCACCCTTATTGTCAGTAAGCAGCTTGAGCAACATGACTTACAAAAACTCTGCAGGGCAAGTAGACTTGAGCATACACCTTTTCACCTTTTCCTGTACAGAGATCTGCTTTAAGTTACCACCCATGCTGCCCCAACTGGACATCCTCAGTCACTGCATCAGCTGCAGTGATGTAAATCCACAACCGTGCATGACCCCAGGAACTTGGATCATAGCTGAATGACCACCTGAGGTTACTTAGCAGACATTTCTTTCAAATGAAAGATTGCATCTAGTTAAGAGTCACCAAGTCTACCCTACTATGGAAAACACCATGCAGCAGGCAGATGGGATTAAATAGATGTAAAACAAAAGGGCTCTGCTAACATCTTCGGGTTTGTACTCAGCGGTATAAGCAGAAAAATATCCTTAATGTGCAAATTCTAGGATGCCAATAGGCCAGGGTGCTTGGCACCATGCAGATGGCAACTCAGAAATGTACTCAGTGAGAACCATTTGTGTATGCAGACACTTAGGCACTAGGGAAAACCTTGCCTAGTTTTGAACCATCCTGCACAAGATATATTAGCTAAAGTCAGCCATTCCCATCTGCTCCCACCTGTGCTGGTTAATGATCTTCATCCAGTGGAATCTATGCAACATTTAATTGCTTTTCTCCAGATATATTGGGAATGATAAATACTGGTTGGAAATTTTTATATTTACTTCTCTCCCCTCACATCACAGAAATGTATTTCTATATAGTTTATATTTTTAGAAACAGAAGCAACACTGGGAGAATCAGAAAAAAAAAAGCCCAAACCCAAAACTACTGAACCAGAACAATAGCATGGTAGACAATGAATCAAAACAGTTTTCAAATACAAGGGAAAAATAATAAAAAAAAAAAAAAGAAAAGAAAGTGAATACTGAGCACTAACGATAGGCTGTAATCAGAAACACTTATCTGGAATTGCCAGGCACCCTGAGCCTGCCCCCATTCAGATTTTGAAAGAGAAGGCTCTCAATGAGACTGTTGCTAAATTATTGCCTCTAGTTTTACACTGCTCTCCTGTTAAAGAGGGACAAAAACTGAGCCTAAATTTATCTGAATCTTCCCATATTATGTGGGTCAGGAAGAAATGAGAGAAGGATTTGAATCATCTTGCAAAATCCAGTACTTATTGAAGTGTAGTGCTGAATGTCAAGATGTAGCATATTGCTAATTTTTCTCCAGGGTAACAGAAGAGGGAACAAAGCCTTTAATCAGGAACAGACTTTACCTGATAGAGCGAATAACCAATACTAAGCAGAGCTTCTCCCATTTTCTTCTGTCTCCTGCGGTTCTTCTGCATCAAGCCCACCAGTATAGTACAGCACGGCTCATTCAAGCTCCCTTCATGGTCATCATCTGGTTCGTCCAATCGGATTTTAAACTGGGGATTGGTCCAGTATGTTGCTAAAAATTCCCAAGGCAAGACAATAAGAAGGAGATTTTGTTGTCATTGTAGCCAAGATGGTTGTCAATAGAATTACAGACAATATCTCTTTGGAAGGACTTTTGCCTGGAGTTTTTCTAACCCTTTCCATTATGTTGTATGGTTTTACATTTTCACAGCTATGCTGAATATCAGTTGGAGCCATGGCAAATCAAAGCACCAAGGTATTTCCTAGGGAGTAATGACCAACGGGGAGGAGCTGATATCATTAATTCCAGCCAGTCATTTATCTTCAGGAAACGTCCTTGGCTGAGACTGTTATTGCTGCAAGAGGACCAAATGCCAGACAGCCTCTCCAGAGGTCTAACCTAAAAATGAATGGGAAACAACACTGCCACTGAACTGTGACACTTTCCTGGCCTACGGAACCCTTCGGAGGATTACTCCAGTCAGTAGCAAAAGCCATGTAAGCAGGAAAAGCAGACAGAGGGGAAAAAAACGAACACAGCCATGAATTAACTGCTTAGAGGGTTGGTAATCCCCAGCGAAGAAATAAGCGTGAATTAGGTCTTGGTTTATGCTGCCAAGCTTTTGCTTACTATCTAAACCCAGCAGAAAGAGCTGCACCTCCAAGCCCTTCCCACCAAAGCCCCTGACAGTTCACAAGCATTTATTTTGATTATTTTGTCGGTATTTCACCAAGTGCCCACTTGGCTGGGTCTCCACCTTGGTAGTTCTGGCAGCCCCCAGCACTTGAACCCCGTCTCCACTGTCCATTAAACAGGGTCAGGTCCCATTTATTGACCTCGTTGCTTGTCAGCGTGTCAGGAGTCAAGTTGCAGATCTCAAGGCGGGTGAACTGCCTTTGAAAATCTGAAAATGCCATCCTGGTGCACAAAAAGATCAGGGTTAGTCCATCAGCCTGCAACAGTTGAGGCGCCTGCAAATGGATGTCCCTCCCAACAGGGCAGCAAACATCAGTACTACAGAGCTGCCCAAAGCCCCACTTAATTGAACTCTGAAACTTGGAACTGGCTTTTGGGAAACAAAATTTCCCACTCCCTGAATGAGCTGTATCTCCTGGAGACAGTTGTTCTCAACAGCTGTTACACATTATGGGCTCAGTCATACTGTTTTCTGTCATCTCCAGCCGTGGGCAATCCCTCATGGATCATACTTCATAAGTAAATTCACTAAAATTGGTGGAACAAAATGTGCAAGGAGATGGCATTTAAGGGGAGTAAGAGTTGGCCCTTATGAAAGAGTCACTCTGTAGAAAAAGTATCAGTTTGTGTTTTGCCTCAATTCTATCGTTAATGTTTGTTTATACCATTCCTAGTAGGTTTGCATGAGTGACAGACCTTGATCACTTCATGCCGCAAGCAGAGGTCTGTTCTCATTTCTCAGTGCCTTATGGCTCATATAGCGGATTGTACTGAAAGACGGTGGGCGTTTATCTTTCTAGTCTAGGACAGAGTGACATGCATTCAGTACTGATCCATATAATCAGCTAACTGGGATGGGCTTTCCATTCGGTCTGGGTAAACAGACTCTTCCCAAGCTGGTAATCTAAAGTTTTTCATTAGTAGGTAGCATTTAGGCAAAAAAACAAACCTCAAAATATAGAGCAGCTGAGGTTCATTCTTGCCACCTCATTGATTTTATTACCATCTGGTCTCTATATTTTGGATAAGCACTGAGTTATGCAAGCTCTAATAAAAGGTAATGTTTGAATGGGAAGGGAGATAAACAAGAGGCTAACAACGCACACATGTCATTATTAACCCCCTTGGTGCTGGCAGTTTCTCTCCATACAACAGAAAGGACTGCTTAAAAAGCATAAATGCACATAAAACGTCCAAAAGATTAAGCTAGCTGAACGATTCTCACCAAAACTCGCCATCATCGATTTGCTTATCCAGAGCCTGTCTTTGTTTGGGATCAATATAATTCCATTCAGGAGCACTGCAGACAAAGCACAAAATCAAGCTGTTCAGTCGTTGTATTTCATTCTACGAAGAGATCAGAGAGTTAGGCTCTGTCTTCAGTTACAGCTGATAAAGGAGTATGTATTTCCTCAACAACTAGACCTTCTGCCCCTCTCCATGGCAGTACATACTGCAACCTGACTATACAGAGCTGGAATCAGACTGCAACTGTATTTGCAGCAAATAAGTCTTAAACTGAGTCATCACTGGCAGGCGCTGGGATGTCCATATATTGCAGACTGGCTGGATTAGGCAACACCCAGCCTGAAAGTCAGGCAGAGCTTCCCCATTGTAAGATCTGTTGGGATGCCTGATATTCTCCCTGGGGAAGTGATATAAGCTCCGCTGCTGGGGCCACCAAAGAACAAGAAAGCAAAAAGTTGGGATTAGAAAACGTACTGCAGAAAACAGCATTGCTCCTTTCCCACTCTGATGTTACAGTGCAGCAAGCTGGATTCTGCTCTGATCTGCTCCCACGCGATGGTGCAGTTCTGCATCTGCCTTGGCAGGGTTGTCCCGTGGTAAAACAGGTGCAACAAAATCAGGATATGGCATGTGTGTGTGCCTGAGGCACCTTATCTTGGGGATGAGCAAAGCAGCTCTGATAAAGGTAAGAATAATTTTAATGTTAATCTCTATTTTCTATCCCTAAGTATTACACAATATCAGCACCAGTGCTGCAGTCAGTCGGGACAGGAAACTGAAATCTCGGAGTATTGCATGAAAAAATATATTGTGGCCCAAATGAAAGTGAAATTTATGCTACTCTAAATTTAAAAACAAAAGATGTGTTGTCACTGCCGTTCTCATGAAATTCCAAGGTAGTTGAAGCCCAGACAGTTTCTGATAGATTTTCAAACTTCTAGGTCCTTAGCTTAGTCAACATCGTCATTTTTTTCGAGATTCTCCAGTAGAAACCAGAAGAAAAATTCTCCAGAAGAAAAATGACTGGTCTGATTTAAAGCCCAGCAACCTTAGAGCTGAGGCAGGGGCACAATGGTTTAGCCCTGCTGTATTTCCCAGGAATAGGATTGGTTTGCACATCCTACTAGGGTCCTGGCACCATCAGTCAGATCAATCTGAGAAAAAGTCATCTTGCAAAATGACGTGGCTATGGCTTGCATTGGGCTGCTCACAATCAAAACGTGGGCTGTTCTCTCCTATTAGAAAGCTCTGCCGGAGGCAGGGAAGAATGTCCGCTGGGCAGAACGGATCAATATCTAACCTTGCTAATAAATTAATAGTGTTTTATCTCAACTGATTTAGAATGTCTCCTAAATGTGCTTTGTGATTGGATTAACTGCATAGTCCCAATTTAATTTTTAAAAGATATCAAAATACACTGAAGAGAGAGAGGCAGGGGCATATAAATACCTACTTATCACTCCAAGCTCCAGTCCATTCCACTTCACCCCAGGGATTTCTAAGCCTCACTAGTTTCTCTGGCCGTCCTCGGTAATATACCTAAAAGATCCACAGCAAACAGAGCCTGAGCACTTCCATTATTCCAATCATCACGGGGCAATTGCTCTTCAGACAGGATAAAACACGATTTGTACTTGAGTGATGCAGTCCATTACAATTTCCAATAGTTAAAAGACACCTAGATGCCTTCCACCCTTATTTTACATTATCCTGTGCCACCAAGTGAGCCATTAGTTGCAGCACTCACCATTTCATCTAATGACAGCAACCTGCAAGGAAAAACATCAGCTACAAAACAGCGGCATATCTACATCCTCAAAAGCAGGAGACATTGCACAACACAGCAAGGTTAGAAAGAAGTTATTTGGCATGGACACCTCTGTAATGATTCTCGTTTCAGAGGAGCAGGAGGATCTAGGGCTCACTGTGAAGGTGAGACTAACAGAGGGGTTCATGAAAAGAGGCTTTTACTCCTTTCCCACTGGCTCTGACTGGCAAAGAACACTCCCACCTCACACAGTACGAGCACGTGGGGAAACAGCCGCTTCCTCTCATGTTTCTCCTTTCTGCACCCTCCATTTCAGTAACAGTTTGGCCCACCATTACATTCTGTATTCCAGCCTGTTGGTACAACGCAAGTTGCAGACTGCACTGCATACTCTGTATAACTACCACTACAGAGCTTCCAACCCAGCTAAGTACTACAGGTGCTTTCTTTTTCTGTAAGAGGACGCATAAGTCAGCAACATTTTCATTTGGTCAGTCACAGAAAGACATCAGAAAGTTGAAGACACTGCAGCATTGCAACCCCGAGCTATTTTGTATGATGGCCCTGGAGAGGCTGGCTTACCTCTTCTGCTCCAGTGACAGAGTAAGCGTGTCCCTTTACTAGCTTCAGGCTTGTGATTGCTTCGATTTCAGCTGCAGTAGTTATCTGGGGCAATAAAACTATACACACTTAGGACTATATATTATGTACGAACACAGCTTTCATGAGCAAATTAATATGGGGGAAGATATCCAAAGTGCTATGCACAATGAATATCAATATTCCTGATGCAAAGTGTATTAAGTAGAGGTGAGAGCCACAGCAAAACTTCATCTCCACAGTTTCATGCCCCTAAATATGCAGTCCTAGCACAGCAGAGATTCAAGAATGTACAATGAAATCTAAATCTAAATCCAATTCCCAGCTCAGCTAACAGATACAGTCACCTGCAAAGACATGTTCATGTGAACACAGCTCCAGCCTGCCTGGTTGAGATCCAGCATATCAAAATCCGGTAATATCTGGTAATCCGGTAAACCTACATGCCATGAACCAGGATTTCAAACAAGATAACGAAACAGGACATGAAAGGTGTAGAATTTCCAAAATGCGTACAAACATCATCTGTAACTTGAGAGAATTTGTATTACAGGTGTCAATAATCTTCAGGATTGAAAACCAAAGCCAGAATCAGATTACAGGCTACAACAAACACAAAGAGTTTGTCTCTGGCAGTTGTGTCTTTGGAGCTGAAATTACACAGAATTTGAATGAGAAAGGTACTCAGAGAATGAAAATTGATTTCAGGAAGTCTAGTCCCCAGTTCATGGCTCAAAGTATTTTCACAGGCTGTTTTGTAAACCAGGAGGCAGGATGAGAATTGGCTATTTAGAACCTCATCCAAAGTTTTTTTATAACTGGAATCAATAAAATTGTCCCATCAATTGTAGTATGCTTTTAATTCAGACCTTCCTACCTATCTTGAACATTGGTCTGAGCTTTTCTTACAGTATGGACCAGAGCCCTGAGAACAGGTGAGGAGAAAGCAGCAGCAGTCTCTTACATCAATGGAACAGCCAAGCAATGACCCAGCTCTCAGAGCCTTCTGGATGATTTGGTACAGGTTTGAAGGAGCCCTCCGCAGCTCATAGGACTCAGAGATGCCTCCAGTAAAATCCTCAAAGCCCTCCATAGTGGATCCGCCTGTGAGAGCTTCATAAGAGCCATTCAATCTGTGGGGGAGATGACAAGATCTACATAAGGGGCCATCTCCACTTGTAAGCATTGGCACTGCAGAAAGAAGGGTTCATAATTTAGAATCCCTCGGTCCTTCTGATCATCAGTGTGACGTGGGGTAGCAGAAGTAAAGCCCCTTGAAACAGATGGTTGGCAATACCCTTTATGGACCTAGAGGAAACTGTAAAAAATGGGTGGAACTGAAGCTGCATTTGAGTGAAGTGCATTGTGTCTAACGCCACCACCACCCAGGCAGTCAACTTCTGCACACCCAGGAGCGCTGCCTCCTGCTTAGTCACCGTACTTGGCATAGGCCTTCTCCAGCAGCGCACTCCAGAACTCGTTGCCTTCCTCCGAGTGCACGAAGACCAGCTTCCCGTTCTTGGTGGGCAACCTGTCGTCCACCACGACGTCCACCCACTCCCCGTACTGCCAGAACTGGTAAAAAGAAGAAAGGAAAAGATGATGAGGGCTGTTGTGCACATAATAGCTCTGCACTGCCACCTTCCTACCCCTTCACCTGTCATCACTTCCCTCTGGATAAGTCACTGCAAGGTTTCGTTCCCATGTTGGGCTTCTCTCCCTTGTAACAGAGGCAAACTCTCCCATCCCTATGAAGCCCTGAGCAGGCTTCTTAATGTTGTATTAAAGTTTTGCTGATAGGTAATATTAACAGCAACTTCTTGCACACAACATCTGGAACACTGTCTGTGCTCCATGCAGAGCTTACATAGTGGAGAGTCCAGAAAGCGGAGACAAGATACTTTGAAGTCTTTTCTTGTCTACTCTTTTGAGGCCCAATCCATTGAAAAAACAAAACAAAACAAAACAAAACAAAACAATGACCCTGTCAAACTGCTGCAAGGAGAGGTCACCCGAAAGGGAAGCACTCAATAGTGTTAATCCCTTCTGAAAATACTGGGAAATGTGTGAAACATTGCTAACACTGGGGTTTTGGCCTGAATTTGATGCAATCCTGAAAGGAAGAGAAAGAGGACAATTTACATAATAACCCCTCTGCTGAGATGAACTGGTGGAAGGGATGGGTATGTGCTCTATCATATCTCTCCTCACCGAAACACCTCCTTTAGCTTTGCAGGGTGAATCCACACTGCTCACACCTGAGCCTAACTCCCAGTCAAAGGAGGCTGGCTCAGCCCCAACACATCAGGCCCGCAGGCAAGGAAGTCCAGGCAAAGTGGTGGGGAGGGAAGGGAAGGGAAGAGAAGGGAAGGGAAGGGAAGGGAAGGGGGAAGAACCACATCAGCCTGAATTCACTCTTGGCAGTCGGCAGCGACAGAGCTTGGCTTGACTCACATGGCGTGATGGTTTGGCTTGGTTTGCAAAACCTGTGTAACTCACCAGAGCCCTATCAGCTGTCAGACAGCAGAACCTAGCCAGTGAGCAGGTGTCATTTAATGTTATTTCACTCTGTTCTTCTCTTCTTCCCTCGTTGCCCCCCACCAATTTCACTTACACAATGTAATTCTTTAATTTTAGCCTGTGCCAAACACACACAAATAGATCTGCTTTTAGCTAAATACGAGCATTTTCATCTTTTATTCTCAATACCTTGATCACATAGGTACCTGGAAATGAAAGATCCCAGCGTAGTCCTTCTGGAAGTTCTGATCCTTGGGAACAACACGGTACAGAATCTCTGGATTCAAGGTGAGAGATGCAATGGCAGCTAGAAGCCAGCAATCACCTAAAAACACATGTTACAAGGCAGAAAAGTTCATTAACAAATAGTGTTTTGCCCAGCTGATCCTTACACCATTATGCCACACTCCCACCCAGACTAAAATACCAGCATTAAATGCTTTGCAAGGTCCTGCCAGACTCAGTATTGGTTCAG